GACTCAAACCTGAATTCCTGAAAGGTTCTTTGGACATGCACACTACCTAGTACCTACATATACACATACCTTCTCTAGCTACACTCTCGTCCCAGGTGCTCTCATCTAGTTTACGGCTTTAAATACCATCTCTGTGCTGCTGGCTCACACATTTAAAGTTCTGGCCTCAAGACGTGTATACAACTGTCTACTACACATAGCTACTTGGTTGTCTAATCCAGCCAAAACCAAGTCCTCAATTCCAACACACTTCCTCCAACCTGTTCCTCTCGTAATCATCCCATCTAAGCAAATGGCAACTCCATCTTTCCAGTTGCCCAAGCCAACTAAATATCTTGGAGTCAAATGGATAAAGAAAATGTTTGTGTGTATATAGATATACACATACACACACACACACACACACATTGACAGATATACACAATGGAATACTATTCAGCCATAAAAAAGAAGGAAATCCTGCCAGTTGTGACAACACAGATGGAAATTTAAGGGCATTATGCTACGTGAAATAAACCAGATAGAGAAAGACAAATACTGTATGATCTCACTTACATATGGAATTTTTAAAAACCAAACTCACAGAAACAGAGATCAGATTGGTGGTTACCAGAGGAGGGGGAATCGCACGAAGGTGGTCAAAAGGTACAAACCTCCAGTTACAAGATAAATAAGTTCTGGAGACGTAATGTACAGCATGATGACTGTGGTTAACTGCACTGCACTGTATATTTGAAAGTTGCTAAGAGAGTAGACCTTAAAAGTTCCAGCGCAAAAGGAAAAAAAAAAGTGTAATTATGTGAGGTGATGGATGTTAACTGAACTTATCATGGTAATCATTTCACAATACATAAATATATCAAATCATATGTTTTACACCTTCAACTTATACATTATATGTCAATTGTATCTCAATAAAACTGGGAAAAAATAAATTTTTAAAAATATCTTGGAGTCAATCTGGATTCCTCTCTTTCTCCCACACACCATAATTAATATCCTAGCAAATTCTGTTGCTTCTATCTCAAATATATACACTTCTGCCCCCTTCCACCCTATCATTCAATCCCACGTCACCATCATCTCTCCCCTGAAATATGTTGAAAGCCTCCTAACTGATCCCCTTGCCTTCCATTCCTCCCTTCATGTAGTCCAGTCTCAACAGAGAAGCCAGAACAATCCTTCCAAGATTGAAGTCAGATCATGTCCTTCACCCGCTCAAAACCTTCCACTGGATCCCCATCTTACTCAGAGTAAAAGCCTACAAACCACAGGTACCCCGGATCCCATATCCTACCACCCTCCTGGCTGCCTATTCCCCTCCAGCCTGCTTCTGCCATTTGCTAAGCACACCAAGTGCTTAACAAGCCTCAGGGTCTTTGCACTTGTTAAACCCTCTACCTGGAATGCTCTTCCTCCAGACAGTCACAAGGATAACTTTGTCCTTGAAATTTCTGTTCTAGTTTTTTCTTATTAGTAAGCATTATTAGTAAGCCAATTTATATAATTTAGCAAACATTCCCCAATTCTCTGCCAGGGCACAGACACACACACACACACACACACACACACCCCTTGCCTAATTTTTCTCTGTAACATCTATCACCATCTAATATGCTACATGCTTACTGTGTATCTCCCCCCATCCGAATAGAAGACCCACATGATTATTTTGTCCACTGCTCTATTCCTAGCATCCATTCTAGAACAATGCTAGGCATAGAGAAGTCATTCAACAAATACCTATGGAGCGAATGCATGAATGCATGCTAGTATATGTATAGATTCTTTCTGAGAACATACAGAAGAAAAGCCTAAGTGATAACCTTAAGAGAAGGAGAAAGAGAGAGATGGAGGGTAAAGTGGGAAGGGACGTTTTGTTCCTCTTTCATGCGTTAATATATTCTTTGAATTATCTGCATTATGTCATACAGTAAACTGTACTATATTTTATAATTATATTACATTTTGTTTTGGTGTTGTAATTCTGTACACTAAAAATAATAAATGATTTTTAACAATAAGACAGATACTTGCAATGACGCTGTTTCCCCTACTTAAGTGGCCCAGCCTTTCCACCTGCCACCACCCCACTGCCCACCAGTCTTCTCCCTCCAGGAGCCCACTCTACGGCAGCCATGACCCACTCTAAAGGATCTGCAATAATTATAAGAACACAAAGTCAGAAGAGCGCCCTTATTACCAACAAGCATCACTGCCATGAACTCTGGGATGGCCCCAGCCTAAAAACATTTGAGTCCACCTCTATTCCCCAGCATAATATTCCACCCATGAGTTATAGTACCTTCTTACTGTATGGTTCCCATATATGACAGCTTCCCTTTTATGTCCACCTCCTTCCCCTGGGATCCTTCATCTCTAAGGTGCTGAGGGCCAGCACAGCACAGGTGGGCCGAAGACCTTACCCCTCCTCCTTCCAACCCCTCCACTTCTCCCCTAGGTGTACTTCTTACTGATCTATTTTGCCTCCTTTATTAGGTATTAAATCTTATTTATATTGTTACTTTTCTGAATTATCGATTTATTCACTTATCTGCCAGTACTGTGCAGATATAAATGTTATAGCTTTATAATAAGTGATAATGAACATTTTAAATAGAATCCAGCAGCCGCATAGCACAGGGAGATCAGCTTGGTGCTTTGTGTCCACCTAGAGGGTGGGATGGGGAGGGTGGGAGGGAGACGCAAGAGAGGAGATACGGGGATATATGTATATGTATAGCTGATTCACTTTGTTATAAAGCAGAAACCAACTCACCATTGTAAAGTACTTATACTCCTATAAAGATGTTTAAAAAAAGAATAGGAAAACAGACAATCCAATTAAAAATGGGCAAAATATGTGAATAAACATCTTACCAAAGGAAAAGAAAAAAAAGAATCCAGTACGATGGGTTCTGCCACATTATATTTCTTTTTCAGCATTTTTTCAGTGCTGTTTTTAGTGCTTCATTCTCCAGTGGAGGACAGGGTTTATCTCCACTCTGGAACTCATGTGTCATCCATATATTTGCTATTTATTTCTCATTATGTTTAATTAACATGATCTCAGCATTTTTTAGTGTGTCATAGGCACCTGTTTATTCCTCTAAGTGATGTTAAAAAGTATTTTGGTCTGAAACACAAATCTCTCGATATCAACAACACTCAAAAAACAAACCATCAAGGTCTCTATATAAACCCTAAATGTTCAACAGAAGAGTCTTAATCCTGGGGGACATGTAGGTGTTTCCTAATAGCCATTCTTCTTTGGTCATAACAGGTTTGGCTGGAGCAAGCAGAACAAAGGGAAAGATGAGAGGGTGGCAGCCTGGGAAAAGGAGGCGAAGTGCTGAGGTAAGAATATGAGGTTCCTGACATTGCGTACTTTCCAATGCGATAAGATAAACCCATATCACCGGAGTCTGTGGGACTGAGGTAATCAAAATTATGCTATGGCTTATGCATAGAATGATGAACGGATGTCTTCCATCTCCTCTGAGGAGCCAGCAAGTAGGAAAGGAAACACACTGCAGCATGAAGTACGTGACAGTGTTTCTGCAACTTTAACGTGTATCAGCATCACCTACCGAATCAGGATCTCTCAAGGGGAGGGAAGAATTTGCATGCTTAGCCGGCACCACAGGTGACTCACATAGAGGAGGCCAATGGACCACATTTACATAAACCACGTGCATAAGTGAACCAGAAGGAAGAACTTCCTAGAAGTTGGAAATTAAATCTCTGGAGTAAGATGGTGGGAATTCCTAAAGAAGTAGAACAGGGATCCTGCTTTCCTAGTGACCTGTGCAATAGCTCTGGGATTTTGAGACAAAAATGTTCTTTTTTTTTTTTTTTTCAGAATAAAACCTCATTGGCTGCATCGGCAGGAGGTCAAGAAGTAAAAACCAGAGTGGAAAGAGGTCTAGACACGTCTGTATGACATAATCCTACTCCCTCACTTTACTGAAACTCTCAAGTTTAAAGACATAATGTGCACTACCTGGCCTGTAATATTCAAATTGGTGGTAAAGTCCAGCCTGAGTTTAATGCTTTTTGCAGTCAGCATGTGTAGTAAAATGTAGTTCTCTCCCTGAACCTTTCCTACCCACTCAGCATTATGTGACTATCCTGCAGTAGTTGAAGAACTGGATTAAGCCACTTCCAGGGTTGGGACCTGATTGTTTTAACCTAATCGGGGTGGTTAAGGTGAACCAGACCTTAGCCACTGTGTAAATAGCATTCCTCAGGTCAAAGCGATTGATTCAGAAACCAGCATCTGACCCAATTCAGGCCATTTAGCTTTGGGGGGAACATTACTACAAATGAAGTTCCCTCAGTCTTCTGAGAGCCCATCTTCACAAAGATTGATGCTAAGCTTTGAAACATCTCAGCATCTGATTGAACTGAGGTAATCAGTCCCTGACCTGACTGCCTTCCAGAAGCAAAAGTGTATCATCACTGGAGAAAAATAACAGTGTCCAGAGCCTCAACTTCTCATTATAATTTTTCATGCACTATGTAGAGGATACAATCTAAAAGTATCAGGACCAAAAAGGTAAGAATTGTCTGAAAATTAAGAAAAAAACATAAGACAGAAACAGACCCATAGGAAATCCAGATATTGATTGAAACAGACCCATAGGAAATCCAGATATTTGTCAGACATGAAATTTAAAATAACCTTGAGTGACATATTTAACTTAAACAAGCAAGATGGAAAACTTCAAAACTGTAAACTTTTGGGAATTCCCTGGCAGTCCAGTGGTTAGGACTTGGTGCTTTCTCTGCCAGGGCCCAGGTTCGATCCCAGGTTGGGGAACTAAGATAAGATCCCAGAAGCTGCGTGGTGCAGCCAAAAAAAAAAAAAAAAAATTGTCAATTCAAAGAAAACTCAAATGGAAATTCTGGACCTGAAAAACATAATTACTAACATGAATCACTGAAAATAGATTTAATGACAAGAGGATATAGTCGTCCCTTGGTATCCACAGAGGGACTGGTTCCAGGACCCCATGCAGATACCAAATTCCACGGATGTTCAAGTCCCTTATATAAAATGGCGTAGTATTTGCATACAACCTAGAAATATCCTCCTGTATACTTTAAATCATCTCTGGATTACTTATAATATCTAATACAATGTAAACTCTATGCAAATAGTTATAAATACAACATAAATGCTATGTAAATAGTTGCTGGTGTACAGTAAATTCAAGTTTTGCTTTCTGGAACTTTCTGAAATTTTTTTTCTGAATATTTTCAATCTGCCATTGGTTGAGTGCATACATGCAGAACCCACAGTATGGTGGACTGACTGTAATTCAGAAGAAAGTATCAAGTGGATAGGAAGACTCAATATTATTAGGATGCCTGTTCTTCCCAACTGGAACTAGAGATTCAATGTGATCCCAATCAATATCCCGGCAAGTTATTTTGTGGATACCAACAAACTCATTCTAAAGTTTACATGGAGAGGCAAAAGACCCAGAAAAGTCAACACAATATTGAAGGAGAAGAACAAAGCTGGAAGACTGATATTACCAAATGTCAAGACTTACTTTTAGCTACAGTAATCAAGGAAGTGTGGCACTGGCAAAAAAAAACAGACTAACAGATCAATGGAAGAGTACAGAGCCCAGAAGTAGACCCACATAAATATAATCAACTGATCTTTAACAAAGTAGTAGAGGCAATGCAAAAGAGAAAGGATTGTCTTTTCGACAAATGGTAAAAGAACAACTAGACATCCACATGCAAATAAATAAACCTAGATACAAACTTTATACCCTTCACAAAAAAAAACTCAAAATGGATCAGAGACCTAAATGTAAAATTCAAAACTATAAAACTCCTAGAAGATAACATAGGATAAAGCCTAGATGACCTTAAGTATGAGGATGACTTTTTACATATAACATCAAAGGTATGATCTAAGAAGAAATAACAGATGAGCTGGGAGAAAATATGTGCAAAAGACACATCTGAGAAAGGACTGTATCCAAAATAAGCAAAGAATTCTTAAAAGTCAACAATAAAAAAACAAACAACTTGATTAAAAAGTGGACCAAAAGTCTTAAAAGGTACTTCACCAAACAAGATATACAGATGGCAAATAAGCATATGTAAAGATACTCCACAACATATGACATCAGGGAAATATAAATTAAAACAATGAAATATCACTACATACCTATTAAGAATGGCCAAAATCTGGAACACCGACAACTTCAAATGCTAGTGAGGATGTAGAGAAACCAGAACAGTCATTATTGATGGTGGGAATGCAAAATGGTGCAGCCACTGTGGAAGACGGTTTGGCAGCTTCTTAAAGAACTAAACATACTCATACCGTACAATCCAGCAATTGCATTACTTGGTATTTACCCAAAGGAGCTGAAAACTTATGCCCAGATAAAAACCTACACATGGATGTTTATAGCAGCTCTCTTCATAATTGCCAAAATTTGGAAGCAACCAATGATCTCCACTATGTGAGAAAATAGGAAAACTGTGAAATATTGTTCAGTGCTAAAAAGAAATGAGTTATCAAGCCATGAAAAGACACGGAGAAAACTTAAATGTATATTACTAAGTGAATAAAGCCAATATGAAAAGGCCTACATACTGTATGATTCCAACCATATGACATTCTAGAAAAGGCAAAAGCATGGAGACAGTAAAAAAGATCAGTGGTTGCCAGAGGATGGGGTGGGGGTGAGGGGAAGGGATGAATAAATGGAACACAGAGGATATGGGGGAGCAGTGAAAATACTCTGTGTGATGGTATAATGATGGATACATGTCATCATACATTTGTCCAAACCCACAGAATGTACAACACCAAGGGTGAACCCTACCGTAAACTATGGACTTTGGATGATTAAGCTGAGTCAATGTAGGCTCGTCAATTGTAACAAATGTACCACTGTGGCAGGGGATACTGATAATGATGGAGGCTAAGCATGCATAGAGGTAAGGAGCATACAGGAAATCTCTGTACCTTCCACTCAATTTTGCTATGAGCCTAAAATTGCTCCCCAAAAGTCTTTTTAAAAAAGAAAATATCCAGAGTGAATCAGAGAGAGAAAAAATTTGAAAATATAAAAATTTGAGACCAAAGGAATATAATAAAAATATATAACACATGTAATCAGGCTCCCAGAAGAAGAGATAGAGAATGGGAATAAAGACATATCTGGAGTAATAATGCTACAAATAACGAAAGACATAAATCCACAGATTCAAAAAGCACTACAAACCCCAAGCAAGATAAATACAAAGAAAATCATACCTAAGTACATCAGAGTAAGATGTACCTAGTTTATTTACAGAGCTAAAACTGCTGAAAAACAAAGGTAAAGAGAAATTTTTTTAAAAAAAAGATTACCTTCAAAGGAGAAACAATAAGATATAGGACAACTTTTCAAAAGAAATAATGAAAGCCAGAAGATGATGAAATAATATCTTCAAAGTGTTTTAACCTAAAATTCTATACACAGTAAAAATACTTTTCAAAAGTGAAAATTCAATAAGCTCATTGTCAGACTAAAACTGGAAGCATTTATCACCAGGAGACCTAAAAAAGAGAATAAGAGAGAGACAGCAAGAGTGAAAGCGAGAGGCCTGAGCAGAAGAGAGCTACTGCAGCCTCCATCTACAGTTTCCTCCCCCAGGGCCAAATGAGGTGACCAAGCCTAATGAGTGGACAGGATCAGCTGCCGGTTATCGAGCTTCTATAAAGTAGCCCTCACTATACACAGAGCTTGAGGCATGTTGTCTTATCCTCACAAAAGGAGGTAAATATGACCTTCAGCTTGCAGATGAGGAAACTTGTAAAGCAAATTGTTCTAACAGCCTAGCTAATAAGTGGCCAAGCTGGATTTAAGCCAAAAAGTCTGACCCCCAAAGGCTACACTCTTAACTATGATGCTAACCCCTCACCAAACAATCCCAAGCACCAATGCTGTGCCACACAAGGCTAGAGGCTTTGTAGGCGTCATCTCATTTTCGCCTCCAGACAACTCCACGAGTAGGCATTAGCTCTGTTTTACAGATCAGGAAAAGGCATCAGAAAGCACCTTGCCCAAAGGCATAAATGTCAGCACTGGACTTCAGATTCTGATCTAAAGTTAAAAGTCTGGATTATTTCAATGTTTAAGTGTATGCCTTTTGTAAGTGAGCAAAAAACAACAAAATCTCGAGGCTACTGAGCAGATCTGGGCCTTGCTAATTCTGAACGAGATAGCTTGTCTTCTTATCTCCCCTGGTTCTCTATACCTTTCCTCACCTTCCCCCTTCTTTTATTACCACTTCTCTACTCTACTTCCTCGAAGCAGCTACATGTAAAGGAATCCATGTTTTACACCTTGGGATGAATATAAGACAATACTTTAACCTTCCGGTGACATGCACTTTTAAGTCTCATTACAAATTGCAGAATCAAGGGCCTTGTCCCCAGTTAAAGAATTTTTATTTTTAGCAAACGGGAAAATTGGCAGGAGAGATTCTAGAAGTTTTGCCACAGACTATCAGCTTTCTTCTGGCTCTGTGCAACTGGGTATCTGATAATTTCCTAAACAAAAAATTTATATATACTATATAAAATATACATATATGACAAGTTTTAGGGATTTTCGTTTTGTTTAAGACAGTTGGGGATAATGAAAAAAATATTCTACTGTTCTTCTGTCTTAGGGTTTCTTCAACTCCCCAGTACTTATCATTAAGATAATCCTGAAATGTAAAATCGTCTTAAGGCCACCAATCAAACAGGATTAGGAGCCCTACCCTTACGACCTCATCTAACCATAATTACCACCTAAAAGTCATATCTCCAAGTACAGTCACATGGCGGGGGGGTGGGAGGGAACAATTCAGTCCACAGGAAGGACTAAGGGGTGCATTAGAGAGGTGAGGTCTGGGAGTAAAAAGCAGCTTGTCTGGTTAAGGAACAGAATTTGATCACTATGCGATTGTGGCACCTGGCTGTCTGAACTAATCTTTATTGATTGCTTTCTCAAATTCAGCGTCCTGGGGAAACAGGGAATAAAAAAGCAATACGTTAAAAATGTTAAAAAAAAAAAAAAAAGAAAAAAGAAAAGTTTAAAAAAAAAGTTTAAAAAAAGCAATACACTTTTTAAAAATTTTTATTTATTTTATTTATTTATTTATTTTGGCTGCGTTGGGTCTTTGTTGCTGCGCGTGGGCTTTCTCTAGTTGTAGTGAGCGGGGGCTACTCTTGGTTGTGGTGTGCAGGCTTTCTCATTGAGGTGGCTTCTCTTGTTGTGGAGCACGGGCTCTAGGCACGTGGGCTTCAGTGGTTGTGGCACACGGGCTTCAGTAGTTGTGGCACATGGGCTTAGTTGCTCCGCGGCATGTGGGATCATCCCAGACCAGGGCTCGAACCCATAGTCCCCTGTCTTGGCAGGCAGATTCTTTTTTTTTTTTTTTGCGGTACGCGGGCCTCTCACTGTTGTGGCCTCTCCCATTGCGGAGCACAGTCTCCGGACCCAGCGGCCATGGCTCACGGGCCCAGCCGCTCCACGGCATGTGGGATCTTCCCAGACCGGGGCACGAACCCGTGTCCCCTGCATCGGCAGGCAGATTCTCAACCACTGCGCCACCAGGAAAGCCTGGCAGGCAGATTCTTAACCACTGTGCCACCACGGAAGCCCCTAAAAGCAACACACTTTTGTAAGGCACATAATCAAGCAGTAAATGCTCAAATGGATTATTCAATAAAAGGGTAATTTTTTTTTTTTAAGTTTATATCCTCTCCTTTCTACAAAGCAGCCAATCTTGGCTTCTATTAACGGTCCTCCTTTTGTCGACAGTGTTAGCAAAAGAAACTTCTGCGGAGCTGATTGTTTTGTTTCTGTGAACTGAGCCCGCCACCCAGTGGCTAACATGGAAATTGCAGAGACATGCGCCGCATACAGTACTTTGGGCAAAGGATGGTCTTTCATTGAACAGCGTAACGTAGTCACTGCTAATTACAGCTTCCACCTCCAAGACAAGAAACCCCTTCTGTAAACAGTTTAATCCTAAAATGGGTTTGTCTTGGCTTTTCTAGATTGAGATGAGGATAGAAAACAGGTAGATAGTGGGGTTTGTGGGTAGAATTATAGGTGGAGAGAGGGTCAGCACTC